CAACGGCACCAACGACCTCAGCGTCATCGACACCGAGACCAACCAGGTGACGGCGACGATGACGCTGGGCATCAGCCCGTGGACGGTCGCCGTCAGCCCCGACGGTCGGTCGGCCTACGTCACCAACAAGGAGTCGAACTCGGTCGAGGTACTGACGATCGCGCGCTGAGTGGCGCGCGGCTCGGTCTGGACGAGACGGCGCAGGTCGCGAAGTGACGGTGAGTCGCACGGTTCCGAGGCGCCGTCGTTCGCTCTTTGTGGGCTCAACGGGTGAACGCTCTGGATCAGGGCCATACTTCGCGTCACGATGGCCCCCGTTCCGGTGAGACCAGCGCCGCCCGGCCGTGATCACCGGGAGACGGGGGAGCGGGATGGCGGACACGGCGAGGTCACCGCGGCGCCCGCAGTCACCTGCCGGTGGGGCACCGCCTCGCGGCGCGGTGACGCCGGTCGTGCGGCTCTCCGAGTCGTCGACCGTCGTGGGGCTGACCCGTCGCCTGCTCACGACGGCGTCACGGCAGGGCGCGGGCCGCGACCGGTCGGCGTCGCGGGGTCCCCGGGCCGCGCGGCCGGCCCGCCTCCCGGAGGGCAACCGGCTCGACCAGCTGGTCGAGGGCCGCGTCGACGAGTACCGCAGGCAGGGACGTGCCGGTCGCCACGCCGTCGAGGCCGCCGAGGGGTCGCTGACCTACGACGCCCTCGACGGTGCCGCGAACCGGCTCGCCCGCTTCCTGCGCCGGCGCCGGGTCGGGGCGGGTGACCGCGTCGCGGTCCTGCTCGCGCGCCCGACCGACGCCCTCACCGCGCAGCTCGCCCTGACCAAGGTCGGCGCCGTCTGGGTCCCCCTCGACGCGGGCCTCCCCGACCGCAGCCTCGCGGCCGTCCTCGCCGGGTCGGGGGCCGGCCTCGTGATCACCACGGCCGCCGCCGCATCCCGGCTGGCGGCCTCGGACGTCGACGCGATCTACCTCGACCGGGTGGCCGCCCGGGTCGACGCCGAGGACGCCCGACGCCCGACCGGCGCCGAGCGCGGCGCCGACGCCGAGGCGCCCGCCTACGTGGTCGTGCACGCCGACGCGAGCACGCACGGCGCCGCGCTCGGCCTGCGCGCCCCGGCCGTCGGCCACCCGGCGGTCACCAACCTCGTCCGGGTCGCCGCCGCGATCCTCGACATCGGCGAGACCGACCGCGTCCACCACGACCCGCACACCGGCTCCGATCTCGCCGTGCTCGAGACCTGGCTGCCCTGGGTCTGCGGGGCCACCGTCGTCACCCCGCCCGCCGGCGCCGACCTGCGGGGCCCGGCGCTCGGACGCTTCCTCGCCGACCGGGGGATCACCGTGCTGCGCGCCGATCCCGCCCGGCTCGCCGGCATCGACGTCGACCTGCCCCGGCTGCGGCTGCTGGTGCTGACCGGGCCCGACCGCCCGCGGGAGGTCGTCGCGC